TATGGATTTTTCAAGGATCGTTTTCATTAACTTGTGACCCAGTACACTGCCTTTGTGAAACATTACTTTTTTTTCAGTGCCGCCATTTTTCGGCGATTTCCTTCTTCATGTCGCCGTTGATGGTTCTTTCTTTTTCAAAGTAGTCAATAAAAGTTATTCCAGGCGCATCGCAAAGTCTGCAATTAACTCGGATGACTGTCGAACTGTCGACTGAGGTATTCAGCGAAGGAGTTCCATTACATTTTGTATGCGGAATCAAATTTCTGATGCTGAAACGTTAAGAATGTTGGAAAAAGCCTTCGGTGATAAGTTTTTGTCGCGAACAAGTCAATTGTAATATCGGAAGGATCAGTGAAAACCATTTTGAAAGATAATTTGGGCATAAGAAAAGTGAAAGCAAGATTGGTTACAAAATCACTAAATTTCAATGAAAAAAAATGTCGCGTCAACGTCTGTGAAACAATGTTTTCCGACTACCAGGRTGCCATGAAACGTATTATTATTGAGACTTGGAGCCAAAAAGTGAGCCGAAGATGGAAAAAACCACGTGAAAGCAGATCAAAAGCCAAAGTTATTCTGACCGTTTTCTTCGATTATCGAGGTGTGGCGCACTCCGAATTTCTTGCGATCAGTCAAACTGTCAATAAGGAAAGTTGAGTATTATGCTCCGGAATTTTCGCAACACTATTGCAACGCCGCATACCGCATTGATTCGTCTTGAGTTTTTTGTAAAATTTTTAAGCAATATCGTGCCGCAACCACCGTATTCGCTTGACTTAGCTGCGTGTGACTTCTGGCTGTTCAGCAAAATCAAACGACTTGTCCGGGGAAACCGTTTTGAGTCAATAGAAGAGTGTGAATCTCCGCTATTCCGGGAATTTACTTTAACAAGTGTTTCAAGGATTTGAAAAAACGTTGGCACAAGTAAATTATGGCCAAGACGGATTCCTTTGAAGAATAATTTAAGAACTTTAAAATTAAGAACAAAGACTTAATATTCTTTGCTCATAGTAGTATTTTGTAATTTTGGTTTGTTTCAGTGTAAAGAGACTCTAATCTGTTTCGTTCTTTGTAGTGATCGTCAGCTGTATTAATATTCGTACTCAAATAGGGATTTTAAATGGCAAAGCAATACGTCATTTTTCGATGTCAATTAAAAATTTTCTCCCTCAAAATTTTCCATGGCGCTAAAAGTCATATCCGTTGGGTCTGAAATATTGGGTTCTGCAATGTCATTTGTTATAAATCCTACTGCGCAGATCATCTCATTGCCATATTAGATATCCCCAAAAAATTCGACGTCGAGAAGTGACAATTTGAAAGTACGATTTATGGAGTAAAATTAGTATGAAATTTTACTACTAATTTCCTTCGCTTTAATTCAAGTTTTCGAGTTATTCAAAGTCAACTTTAAATTATAGAAGTTGGAGTTGTAGAAGTTCGAGTTATGGAAGTTAAACTGTATTTTTTTCGAAAATCTGAAGCATCACTCAGCCCTAATATTTCGACACCAATGTCCACTCTTCGACCGACGCATACTTTACCACACCAGAATTWAATAAATGACGCTTACAGCGGACAACTGGCACGTCCCAAGGCATTTCTCTACAAGGTAGCTCACACACGTACACATTCAAACACACAAACTTACATACATAGTATGTAGTTGTAACAATGTGCGGTTCAAATTAAAATAGTTTCATCAACAAATCGATGATAATATGGTGCTGCTTGTTTGTTAGTTGCCAGCTGTCGGTTGTTCAGCCGCGCAGTTGTTGCTTAACAACTCGAGAGCAATGTGTACAACAACACAACAATAAGTTGTAAGTGTAAGTGTTACTGCAACAACAACCATACACTCACAACTAACAAGCGAAAATGTTGCAAACTTATTGTTGTTGTTGTTATTATTATTCTTGTTTTGCTCAGTTGCAGTCGTTCGTTGATATTGTTAACAAAATTGCCAATGTTGCTGCGGCCAAGAGCTCTCACGCCACAGCCAAAGCGACAGCGGGCACAGACATATACCGCATATACATATGTACATATGCAATAAAATACTCACGCAAACATATACATATGTAAGTGTAAGTATCGTGCACGTTTACTTTATCGATGCATTTGCTATAGCTTTGTAAGTTATTGTTGTTGTTATTGTCACCACGTTGCCATGTTGCATGTTGTTATCAACTTTTAGTTGATTGCTATTGTAGTAGTAGTAGATTCGATTACATTAGATTTACAAAACCAACTACAATGGCAGGCAAATCAGTTACAGTCACCGACCATGTAACCGACAACAACTACTACAACACGTATGCATATTTAAATGTGCATTCGAGAGAAAGCAGTAGCAAATACAAAAATAAAATATTTCTAAAAATCGCTTGCCACAACAAATTCGTTAGCGACATTTTTGAGTAAGTGTAGAGTAAGATAGACACACATCCACACATACTAGAATGAAATATAACATAGCCTCACTAACCGGAAGTAAACCGAAGAGTGTTACAGATCATCCCAACGGCATCAAAATCGTATAGACATGTACTTTTGAATATATTCAAATACAGGGTGTGACTTGAGGTGTACAATTTCTAGAGGGATTGCTAACAAACCAGTGTTGAAAGTGGCTGGATTTGTTTGAAATTTATAAATTTAATTATTTTGAGAGATTATCATCCCACGGGTCATATTTCGAGATTTGGCAATCCTAGTGTTCCGATCTGGCAACTCACAACCTTATCGTAAAGTATGGAATTTTTTATACAGAAGTACTTTTTGTGTTGTTTATAGTAACTAAAAATATTCATCTCGAACAAAAAGTGCTATAATATCGTGAACATTTTTATTGTTTACAGTAACTTAAAATATTCATCTCGGCCAAACAATGGAATTATATCCATGAACTTTCGAAATAAATTTACTAAGAAAAAGGGTGCATCAAAGAACGCAATTCAATTTTCCACGATAAAGCCCCATCAAGGACCAATGTTTAGTGATGTTATAGTAAATTCAATGCAGATCGTGGATCACTCCAAGAATAATTTTGTAAAATTTGTCTAAAATCAGTTGCTACTCCTAAAACTGATTGCTGATATTACAAGATCATCATGTAGCCTATAGTGAGATTGAGACAACTATAGGCATTAGTGGGACCAACATACGTATATTCAATATCACATAATAATTGATTGTAAAAAAAAATTCACATTGGATCCCATTCTATGAACATTAATTCTTACAGACTAATGGAGAATTAGGATTCAAATTAGAATTCTTAAACAATTAATTTACAATTGCATAAGTAGATAACTTAACTTAACTGCCGAAGAGACGGTTGATGCATTCAGAACGCATATTTTGTAAAATACCTCAATCTGAAAGGCAAAAGTGCTTCCATAATTGGTTCAAAATACATCGAGAAGCAATAAAGCGATTTTCGGTGATTACTAGTTTTCGTTCTATGATTTCGAAAGATACAAGACAGCCTACGTATGAGCAAAATTTCGTAGCTAGACTAGCCAAATCAAATCCTCAGACTTTTTACAAAAATTTTTATGAGTCAGGTGAAGTGCATACTCATCTTCGAGTTCAATACAAATGTTCCCTTTCATGGTAAAATAGTGTGAGAAAGAGTCATAGAAGAAGCATATGAGCGAGGAAGAAAGGAAGACATAGGAAGAAAAAAAGAGAGAGTGAAAATAGAGAAAATCCAACGCAATTTTAATAAGAGAAAAAGTTCTAGACTCCGTTCTAAGAACTAATGAGTCAAACAATGCATCATCATTAGAAGAATAAAAATTCTAACGCATTTTAATTATGTCAAAAGCTGAAATTCAAACTGGACGTTATAGGTATGTACATATGTTTATGCTTATGGACAAATATAAAATCTTAGTTGCAATAGTCGACTTATTAATATTTTATTTGCGGTTACATCAAAAGACAACATTTACTTTTTGTTCACTTTTTTAAAGCCACAACCAAATGTATGCCGCAATTTCCATTTCCATATATTTCACACATTGCAATTATCAGAGGAATGAAATATTAATAAATGCATTAGGTAATTTGCTGAAAATTTCTACTCGAATATTTCTCGATTCGCCAAGATGGAGAGAAGCTTAAATTCTAAAATATTTTGTAATGCAATTACTTAAGATGTCATATGATAATTCATGATTCGATTACTTACAGTTCACTTGCGATGGTTAGTTATGGAGTTAGCTTATCGTTTGACTGTGGGGAATTTCAGTTTATGGCTATCAGGGTCCAGGCATCCAAATAAGAAACAACAATTTTTCTCCGCAAATAGAGTCAACAAGAAAAAATAAACGGTGCCAGACATGGGTTCAGCCATTTTTTGCAACCGAACGCCATATTTGACATTTTCCAACCAATTTCGCAGTAGGAATGCGCAAATTTTGATTGACGTTTGGCGGAAAATTCTATAAATAAGCGCATTTAAAACTTTTTAAACTTTCCGCCACGTATATATTTTTTTATCAAAGGCGCCTATGAATCAGCGCCATGAATTTACACACAACAAATATTCACATGTAAAATAAATTAAATTTGCTATAGAGTGAACAAACAACAATTACGCGCAAATAAGGAAAGCAAAATAAATTCACGCCAAATTCATTCGTTTGAAAAACAGACTATGTTTATACATATGTATGTAACGATGTCTTCATACGCAACCACGTTTAAAATTGCATTAACAAAGCGGACAGGTGTCAAAGAAAACAATGGCGAATTTGCTGCCTTTGCTGTTGCTGCTGATGACTGCGTGTCAACGGCATGTCCATGAAACGTCACAGACGGAAAAAACTCGCATGGAGGTTTGTTTGCAAGTATTTTGCTACTTTTTACTGCATTTGTGCATGTATGTATGCATGTGTGGGTATACATATATGTATGTATATACAATAGTTGACAATAGAATACATATAAGGGAATGTTATGGTCAGTTATGTGGGTGCGCTTGCACTTACCTGTTATGGCAGCCAAATTTAGTAATAATCCAATTAGATGCTTCATTGGCGCGGCGTTTGTAGATGTTGTTGTTGTTGCTTGCTGCTGCCTGTTTTTAGTGTGGTATAGGTGGTGTTGTTGTTTGGTTTTCTAAAAGCTTCAACTATGAACGATCAATAAACACGAACACGTGGGTAAGGTGGATTTACTAAACGGTAAACTTGGATTTATTTTTTATTATAAATTTTTAAAAAAAATTTTAGAGCGCACACACTTAATTAAAGCACATAATTAAATCATGCACATTTATTTTACGTTTTATGGCACAATAAACCGTTAAAAACTACTCAAAAATATAATGAATTCACTAAACACTGTTAACTACCGTTAACCACACTGGCGCCACCAACAATTATTATCACTTGGCACTTTGTTGTGTAAGCTTAGTTAATTTTCACTGAAACTTCGTTTGAAGCTTACCAAAATTCCCAAGTATAGCAGTTACTCATACATACATACATATATGTACATACAATAATCAAAAGTAAATGTTGACTAATGCTGTTCACAGCCTTTACACTTTATTTGACACTATAACCGTTACACTGACTAAACCCAACTGACTACTAACTTGTGCTGCCCGCAAAGAATATTTTCATAATTTTTCTTTTCATACCATCAAGTGTCACCCATACATACACATATGTATGTATGAACACATACATACGTTTTTACTAGTTTTGGATATTCACTTTCGCTCACATATGCAATATACGCAAACAACAATAAACAAGTCGCCAATAGGCCGCGTTATCTTCGTTCCCTTGGGGTTGGCTTGTGTTGTTTGTTGAGCTTCTTCCGTTGCCGGCAAAGGTGCTGAAATGTTTGAAATGACGTTTTGTTGCGAAGCATTTCTCACCCTCGTCATCGTTGGGACACATTGTTGCGCAACATAGAGTGTGCGCCGCGCATCGAGTCTCGAAGTGAGCGCAGCTCGTTTGGCTTTGGAAGCAACAAGTTGTCGTGGTTGAATTGCGCGTTGAGCGCCATAAAAAGCTACAAACCGAGTGTGTGGTTGAAAATTTGCCAAATATGTAGTAATATTTATAATGTATAACAGTTGAGTTTTATGGCAGATAAATATAAAATTAGAGTAAATGTATTCAAAAACCATAACGTTGTGGAAATTATTTGTGTTATTTCAAGTTTCACACTATTATAAGTGAAATATTACTGCCGGTTTGTGTCCTTAAATGCATGGAACCTAGTTTCAAAAATTGTGCACTTTATTTGAAAAGAAATGTGCTGCTTTTTTGGCTAGTGCCCACAAAATCATATACGGAAACCAATTTTACAAATATCTCACGAACGTAGAGGTAGGCCTCTGCCCGTCTTAAACTCTGCGGTGGAAGCAGCATGTTGATGTGACCTTGGTCAAGGCGACTAAAGCATTAATGCAATTGGCTGGCTGAAAAATCTTGGGGCTGCAGGCCAAGAATCGTTAGGTGGTTGTACACCATGATCATGCGACCGATAATCACGAATGCGGCGTTGCTTCGCAAGAAAAGAGTAGGTAGAGTAATCGGCAACAACAAAAACACGCCATGCGGCATGCTATAATTAACCGTCATAAGAATAAACTTAGACTACTGGTCGTATTTTACACCTGCTACTGCAAGCTGAAGAAACATTTACACAACATGGGTCTAGCTTCTTGCGTTCGCTGTCTGCAGACGCAGATTAAAGGACCTTGGATCCATACATAGCATCAGAACGAGGAAAATCACCATTATTTTAATATCATTTGCCATAGTTTAGGTGACAAACCAATATCACGTTTTTTGCTTATGCAGCAGTTTACTGAAAATTTCGTTTTTTTTTTTCTGTTTAATTTATAAGTACAAAAGTACTTATTATTATACTTTGCAAATAATACAACTTAAACTGAAATACACTAATGCCACCGAGAACTGCCGACAACTATTCAGTGAATAAACAGTAAACACAATCAGATCTTAACTTTCAAAACAAACTCAGTTATATTATTCAAGAAATACCTTTGCTTTACCTAAAATGGATTTTTCTTTACTTTTGGTGCACTCAAATTAAGACATATGTATGTATGTATATACTTTTTTGCTTAACTTAAAGTGATTTTTTTCAATTAAGACAATTATTAAACATACACATTAATACAAATATAATTGTGTGCACTCTGAAAATCCATTTATAATTTGCCTTTCCACTCTGTACTTTTTTTGGTGGTCGCCATTTATCTTCTGCTGCCAAGGCATTTACATACCTCAAAGCACAACGAATTTTATAATGCAAATTATGTTCCTAAATGTTACACACATTCGACAATTGGAAATTGATTACACTTTTTAGATGAATAACTTGCAAAATATTAACGAGCTTTTTTCTTGATTTTTACCGTTTTATATTTACGCAAACACTTCACGGAACACTGCAGCTGCACAAACGAGTGAACTTATTTATTCGATAAAGAACTGAAATTATAACACTATTTTATCAAATACACACTACACAGCACTTGACAAACACTTTATAACACAATTTAGCTTTTCACCTTTCCGCGTAATTTTAAATTTACTAAAACTAAATTTTCCGCGAAACTTTAGACGCGCAACGAAAAATAACTGTTTACGAACTGACATTTGTTTTGACCGTATTCTTGGCTTCCCAAGCACAGGGTGTTGTAGTAATGAAATATTCTTTCTACCGGAAAACATACGAAAAATAAATAAAAATTTAAATTAAAAGAAACGGATATTACAGAAAAAGCAAAATAAAATTATTATTCTTGTTGCTTGTGCTTTATTGTGGAACAAAATAATGGTGGAATTAATATTTTTTAAATTAAACTTGCAAAGAGTTTTATAATATACATTTATAATACACATATTCGTTTTACCTATAGATAATTGAACGCATGTCTTTAGTTATATAAGCATATACATACCTATATATAAATACACATGATTGATACATGTATATATATCTATTATCGCATGCGATATTTATATAAGTTGACAGCTATGGTCTTTTCCAGCACACGAAACAYCCTATGCGATACCGCCTGTTTATTGACATTTGTCGGCAAACAAATTTTCCCCCATTTGCGGTTAAATCTTGGGAGCTTATTCACTTAACACTCTTTTACGCGTGTGAAAACCTGTGAAAATGGTGATTGCGAAAGAAATATTGACAGACTACAAGGAGGTCTACGAGAAGGCTATAAAATATGTTAATGAAGAAAGTAAAAATGATCCACCTACTGATCCGTTTCGTTCACATTACGCCGCACGCGAGTTATTATTGCAATTGAAGGAAAATCTTAAAAATGCATTGGCCTCAGTTGTGGCGGAGGAGGCGGACGATGGCAAAGATGATTTCACTTACATTGTTTTGCTTGCATTTGTGTGTCGTGACCTTGGGCGTATCTACGTCTTCACGGATGAAGTTTCAACTGGTGAACGTCTATTACAAGAAAGTCTACAATTGGTTGAACCGCATAAAATGAAACCTGAGGCTATTATTCCATATGTGGGTGCACTCAATGAAATGGGCATAGTGCAGGCAAATCGTTCTGAATATAAACAAGCTTTTGATACACTTATCAAATCCGAACAGTCCTATAAAGAATTTCTAAAAAGCAATGGCACTCCTATATGCATTTCTGACATTTTCGGCACACCCGACGAAGTGGAAGAGGGTAAAGGCGCAAAAGAATTGGAAAGCTTATATACTTTGTGTACATTTTATTTGGCACAAGTGCACGGGCATTTAGGTGAGCTGGAAAAGTCAGCGCAGTATTGTCATTTAACTTTACGCCGGCAATTGGAATCAAAAAATTATGAGCCTATAGATTTTTCATTAAATGCTGCCACTTTATCACAGTATTTTATTGGTGAGAATATGTTTAAAGAGGCACGTCACCATTTGGCTGCCGCTACGTATGTAATGGCTGAACATGAAGCCAGCATGTTGACGCCAGAGATGACTGAACAACAGCGTACGGATGTAACAGAAACATACAAGCACAGATATGCAGATATTGCACGTTGTTGGGCTAAGTATGGGCTAGCTTTGCTTAGTGCTTCCAAAGAACGTTTATATAATGACGATGACGAAAAAGTAACCAAAGGTAATAATTTTTGTATTTCACCTAAGTATTTCTTAGTTTCATTAACATTTATTTTTTTACCTTTGCAGATGTAAAGCGCCTCACAGTTGATCCAAATGCTTATCGTTTTCCTGGACTGAAAATAGACGTATACGAAAATGGTGTTACCGCAGATTATTGTTTGACGTTTGACGACGCCAAACCGGTATATCATTATGTCAGTGACTGGCTGGACCAGGCTAAAGAATATTATAAACCTGAAACTGAAGCGACCGAGTATGCAAAAGTAATCAAAGATTATGCTGAATTATATCAGCATATTGCATTCTTTGAGGAAGATCCGGCCAACCAAGCGAAAATGCAAAAGCGTCGTGCCAAATACTATGAAGATTTACTGGAACTGCTCAATCCTGTCTTCTACATGGGTATTTGCCGTGAGTGCTGGTATGGTGCTGGACTGTCCTACTGTGCAATTTTGGATATAAAATTGGATGCGTTGAAAGAACGGCGCACACCACAACCACAAGATCTACAAAAGATCAATCAAACCTGCCAGAGAGCGATTAAAAATTTCTTGGAATTTGTGAAATCCTATACGGATAAAGATGGCGCCACCATCAAAGCAAGTGCCGATGCCGAAGAACAACGCAACGTGCTCTATGCCTACTTTCATTTGGGACGCTTACATTTCAAAATGATCACACCCGATCTGAATCTACAACTTGAAAATATGAATAATAGCCTCAAATACTATAAACTCTTTACGGACGAGTGCGCAGCAAGGAAAGAGGTTGCCGAAACACTCAACGCTGAAGTTGGTGTTTGCCGCGAGATGGTCAATTTATTGCCGCTTAAAATTGCCAATATAAAGAAACGTTTGCCAAAGTAGATGAACAACTTACACTCTCTCTAGCTATGTATA